ATCAAGTCGGTGTAACTAGTATTTACGGAATCGAACGCGCAATTCAGGAAAAACGGCGCGAAGAAGGAATTGACGAAGACCCCTTGAAGTACGACGACGAGACACTGCGCCGACTAGTAGATGAAATAGTCCCACGACAACACCAACACGAACGAGGAGTGTTTTCGAAGATCGAATCGGATACCCTGGCCCCAAACCGCCCTGGAGTCGACATGAATATCGAACTTGAGTCCGATCACAAACTATCTTTTAGCCCGTTATATCATATGACCTCCAAACAGCTCGAAGCGGTTCATGAATACCTTATGGACAATCTGAAAAAGAGGTTTATTACCCCTAGTTCGGCCCCATGGGCGTCGCCTGTACTCTTTGTACCCAAATCAAATGGGGGACTTCGCTTCTGCGTGGACTACCGGAAGCTGGACGCTATTACGAAGAAAGATCGGTACCCCTTACCCCTGATCGAGGAAACATTAGCTCGGGTTAGTCGCGCTCGAGTCTTTACGAAGATCGATATCCGACAGGCCTTCCACCGCATTCGCATTGGACCCCGGTGCGGAAGACCTGACGACATTCCGCACCCGTTTTGGATCCTACAAATACAAGGTAGTGCCATTCGGATTGACCAATGGACCTTCTACCTTCCAGAGGTACATTAATGACGCACTTATCGACTACCTCGGCGATTTCTGCTCAGCCTATATCGATGATATCCTTATCTATTCGGATAACGAACTAGAACACGAGATCCACGTCAATAAGGTCTTACAACGACTACGGGAGCATGGACTCCAGGCAGACATCAAGAAGTGCGAATTCTATGTGACGGAAACAAAGTTCTTGGGCTTTATTATCAGTACGAAGGGGATAGCGGTAGACCCGGAGAAGGTACGGGCTGTAGAAGATTGGGAACCACCAGACGGGATAAAGGGCGTCCAATCTTTTCTCGGATTCTGCAACTTTTACCGAAAGTTTATTCGGGACTTCGGCCGTCTAGCCCGACCCTTGACCCGATTGACCCGAAAGGGTCAAAGCTGGAAATGGACCGAAGAGTGCCAAGCAGCTTTCCAAAGTCTAAAGGAGGCATTGCTCTCGGCGCCCGTCCTGGCCCATTACCATGAAGGCTGGGAAACCCAGGTCGAGACGGACTCCTCTGACGGGGTCCTAGCTGGGGTACTATCCCAGAAGAACCCGGAGACGGGCGAATTTCACCCCGTAGCCTACTACTCGAAGACTATGACGGATACGGAGACCCGATACCCGATTCACGACAAGGAGCTACTGGCGGTTATGGAGGCTCTGCGGCAGTGGGAGTACATGCTCTTACCGCAGAAATTCCTGATCGTAACCGACCACGAGGCCCTCGAATACTTTAGTACGAAAAGGATGTTGAAATTCCGGCAAATAGGATGGGTAGACCTGATGTCCAAATTTGACTTCAACCTGATCTATCGGCCGGGACGATTGAATCAAGCCGCAGATGGCTTATCACGAAAAGCGGAAGACCTTCGCACAGCACAGGCTATAAAGGAAGCAGACCGCCATAGGGCATTGTTTACCCCTATATGCCCGATTGGTCCTATAAGACGGCTATGGATTAACGCCTTGGACCGCGACGAGACGACCAGCGACGGAGTAGGAGGACCACAAGGATACGAGGTGGTCGAGAAGATCTTGCAATATAACCGGACTCTGCCAGAGCTGGAAACCTGGAGGATACGGGCTCGGTCTGATCAGGACAACGACAAGGACTGGAGACTACAAGATGGGTACCTAACGTACCAGAACCGTATTTTCGTTCCCGACAAGGACGACTTACGAACTCGTCTAGTATCGGAACACCACGGCCCCTTAGTCATGGCACACCCGGGCCAGAACAAGGTCCGCCGCCTACTCGCCAGACAGTACTATTGGCCGGGGCTCCATGGATTCGTGGATCGGTTCTGTGCGAATTGTTGGACCTGCCGAGCCAGTAAGGTCCCTCGCGACAAGACGCCGGGGTTGCTACGCCCCCTCCCTATACCAGATCGGCCGTGGCAACATGTCGTAATGGATTTCAAGGAGTTTCCCCCTGATCAGGGTGGATTTGACAACGTCTTTGTGGTAATAGACCGCCTAGGCAAAAGGGCCTTCTCATTACCGTGCCACCGAACGGTAACAGCCACGGAGACAGCCTTACTGTATTACGACCATGTGTGGCGAATCTATGCCTGGCCCGACTCGATTACATCTGATTGAGGGCCCCAGTTCATATCGGCCTTTTGGGATGAGCTTTGTCGCCTGGCCGGCGTAAAGCACCACTTAGCATCAGCCTACCATGGTCAGAAATCGGGACAGGTAGAGATTATGAACGAATACATCGATCAGCGTCTGAGGCCGTATGTGAATAGGTACCAAGACAACTGGGCCCGTATGTTGCCGGCACTGGATTTGGCCCAGGCAACAATGCCACACGAGTCAACGGGACTCTCCCCGTTCCGACTGGAACTAGGATATTAACCGCGAATGCATTTCGATGTAACGGCTAGGCTAGATCAAAGCAAGATGAAGCCTAAAGAGCGCCTTACTCGTAACGAAGCGGCTGCGATGGCAGGGCGCATGCATGAAGGATGGGAGTTTGTGAAACGAGCAATGGCCAAAGCCCAGGAACGTCAAGCCCGACAGGCAAACAAGAAACGGCGGGAGCCTGATTGGGACATTGGTGATCGAGTCTGGCTATCTAAGAAAGGCTGGAATACGGATCGACCATTTGACAAGCTAGATTTCCCGAATGATGGTCCTTTCGAGGTAGAGGCTCGGATAGGGCATTCCTACAAGCTAAAGTTGCCTGATCGGCTCAAGGTCCATAACCAGTTCCCAGCAGACCGTCTCCGGAAGGATCCAGATAACCCGGTTCCCGGCCAACGCCGACAGCCGCCGTTACCAGTAGTAGTTAATGGGGAACACGAGTGGTACGTGTCGAAGATCATTTCGTCACGAATCCATCGGGGCAAACTCCAGTACATGGTAGATTGGCTAGGGGCGGACCCGGATGATACATGGTATAATGCCAGGGGGTTCAAGAATGCCGTATCGAAACTCCGTGAGTTCCATACGGAATACCCAGAGAACGCTGGACCACCAGCACGGCTAGCACAGTGGCAGAAGGCCTTAGAAACGGGGTACGACGACCCTGATCACTCCGAGATGATAAACCTCTACAAGGGGGAATCGACCGACAGCGTCGGCGAAGATCGAAGAAGTGAGAATGCGGGAAACGGAAGAGGCTCGCGGGCGACTCTCTTCGAAGGGGAGGGTGATGTGACGACTGACACATGGACGATAAGCAGGGACATCCTGACATCGCCTGCCCTGATCTGGACAAGCGCGTTCCCCTTATAATAGGAGAACGGCCAGACATACTTGCAACCCTTTCCTTCTCTTTCTTCCCTAGTTTAGTATTCAACAATAGAGATGCACTGATATGCAACCTTGATTCGTACCTATGTGCCTCTGCCTCGTTACAAGGAGGCTAGGGGCTCCGAGTGGATAGGCAAGGCGAAGGAAGTCCCGGCCGCCCTCCTAGACCACTGGGAGAAGAGATGGCTCTCCGGGGCAGCACAACACGACCGCCAGCGACGCGCTATCGCCGAGGAGCAGGAGGGCCCCTCGATGCGAATGCCGAAACAGGGCAAGTACTCAGACCTAAACCGACCGGAGGCGTCTACCCTATGCCAGATCAGGACCGGAAAAACAGGACTATCAGCTTTCTTATTTAAGATAGGAAGGAGCCTTCGGTGTGTACTCGCCGTTATGCCGCTGTGGAGAGGCCCCCGAGACGGCAGAGCACGTAATCCTCTTTTGCGGCCTGCTGGAAGAATCGAGAGAGCGCCTACGGGCCACTATCGCAACATGGCCGCTGCATACACGTAGAGACCTGGCAACGGCGACGGGGAAACCAGTAGTCAGCGGGACTATCACAAGGTGGCTACTCAGAACTGGCCGGATAGCGCTTAGGCCCGGATAATATCGATCTTCTCAGGGGGACTTTGTTAGTAGGGTGAGAACTAACATAGTATTGTGGTGGACGAAACGCAGTCGCTAATAGAGCGAACCTACGTAGCAGCGTATGTATTTAGTCCAGCCATTAGGGCACGGTTTGACATACGGGAGCACTTGTAGAGGTACCGGGGGCTTCGAGCCTACGGCGTATTTAATAATAATAAGTAAGGAACCCCAGATGATCCAAACTCATGATTTGAATGTGGCAGGTGATAGAGCCGCTGTCATTACTGCAAGGCACAACCATTTTGCTTGGTAAGACCCAAGGAAATGGCATGGTTTCATATTATGAGAATTTCTGCGTCTCCAATTCAAACAAGACTGAAGAAATGGCCAGACGGCCTGTTACAAAGTTGAGGCGATTGTGGGCTCTTGCCGCGTTCCGTTCTGCATCTGCGAACTCTAGGCGATAGCGATCCCGAAAATGCACCCGAGTCACGTCTCAGCAAAGACAGACGTTTTTCCAACGGAAAAGTTTCAGGTCACCGGAACCTCACTCACGATTGGCCCACCAATATTTGAGTTGTTGCGCATCGACCGTGTTGATGACTGTTTGGTTTCGCCTGACTGTTTCTTTCCCCACCATGCCGAGGGATTCCCACAGTGCCGAAATCTTGGCCTGGGTTTCCAAAAGCCTATCGAATGGATATACTATTGTGTAAGCGATCCGTAACCATCGTTCTGGCTTCTGGCTTTGGTGAGACGGGACAGACTGCAGGGGGCACTTCCGACATCAACTCCCCGAGCTAAACCTGCGATCTGCGATGGCCCTGCCGTTTCATTGCCACCAGAATTTCATGACTTGCCAAAATTGCAGTAATTTGATGCGTCGTGTTACCGTCTTGGGTTGCTTTTTCAAGTGTGACGCCCTGAAAAGGGCCTCGGGAGTGGCATGACTGACATATGCATCGATCAAAAGGTGGAAAGTATATAGTGCCTTATGGTCTCACTGCCACCACCACAATTGATAATCAGAACCCAATAGGCATCACTCGCAGTCAATCGCATCCACCCTCTCCCCAACAGCCACAATTAATACACAGACAGAACCCGAATACGAATCACGATGAAGTCCGCAACCATCCTTGTTGAGGCAGCCCTAGTCGCTGTCGCTCTGGCCCAACTCGCTACTTTCCAGTCGGCCATCGGCACCGTATCAAAGGCATTGACCAACTTGGACACCGCCGTGAAGGTGAGACATCTGTTGACTCTATCCATACACGTAATTCCGATTAACTACTGTTTCAGTCCCTGGATGCGAAAAACCCCAACAGCGCAGCCCCCGTCCTGCAAATGTCAGACGCTGTCCAAACTGCCCTCAAGCAAGCCACGACACAAATTCAAGGCTCCCAAACCCTGTCGTTGACCGACGCTTTGGGCCTGCAAAACACGGCCACGGACCTGACTACCACTGTGCAGTCTACGGTCGGCGACCTAGTATCTAAGAAGCCCGTCTTGGACCAGCTTGGCGTCACTTCGGTCGCCGTTTCGACTCTGCAGAAGCAGCAGTCGTCGTCGAAGGCCCTGGGCGATGCGATTGTCAGCAAGGTGCCTGCTATCGGCCAGGGGATCGCTCAGTCGTCCATTGATGACATTAATAACGCCATCAAGGACGGGGTTACAAAGTTGCAGGCTCCTCCAGCGGCTGGTGCTGGTGCTGCGGCTGGGGGCGCGGCTGGCGGTGCTTCGGGGGGAACGGGCACCAATACCACAACTACGACTACGGGAGCCGGTACTGCGGCTAATGCGGGTACCAATATGAACGCCGCTGTTGTGATTCCCGGGGCGGGATTCGTAAAGCAGAAGATGGCTACGGCCGGTGCTGGCAGCATCGCTGTTGGGGACTTCAAGTGGGTTGCGTTGATCGCTGCCGCTCTCATGTTGTAAAGGGTTCTTTTCGTGTGTTCTGGGTGGCTGTAAACAGGATTTGCAAGCAACTCCCACACATTCTTCACATCACGCTCCCGAAGCTCAACACTTGTATTTACAGTTCTCTATTGGGTGTCAAATTGTCTCCGTTGTAAATAGTCATGCCTTATTATTGAATCTAAAACAGCCTATATTACTGGTGGTAATGTACCTTCGTTCAAGTTCGGAGATAAAATTGCACATGTTTCTTTCCGTATGATTCCACGTGAAACCTTTGTTTCCACTGACTCGCTACTAAACATCACTAGCAGCCTATGGCAGCTATCAAATTATGGGAATATTTCCGACATACGTATACAGACAAGTATCTGGACCTTTGCTCTACGAGAAAAAATACTTCATTTGACTCGGGGGCATCCTACCTAACCCCCCGAAAATGGCCTAAGCATTGTCATAGGGAGAACGCCTTATTTCGTTGTGTTTGAGTAGAACAAAATTAAGCATCTGGTCCAGGTTTCGTGAGCGTCGGGTACTAAAGTATAGGACGAACCAATACAAATTCCTTGACAGTTTATAACATTTGGTTTATTGTGCTTGTGTATTCCTTGTCCCTCATATAATGGCGAGGTAAAGGCGTGCTACTTCGACAGACGTGATGCTATTTGGCTAGAAGAAGAACATGCCTTTGACATCCATCAGGGGTCGAGCACAGCTGAGGCCAATATTTGCCATATTGCTGTCTTTATTGCATAGACTGACACATCATCTGATTCCTTCGTGATTTTCTTCTCGAAATATACTATTTGAGTTCAGAGACGCTGGAATCCGAGACCTGTCAAACCTTAAAGTTGCTCCGAGTTGTTCGGGTGCTTCCGAGTATATATGTGTGCAGTAAGACGCCACTACTGGCTACATGCATCCCACTTGCATCTTACGCAGGGCCAAATCACTTTTCAAACAATGCGTGTTTGTTTGAGAAATCGAATTCAGCATCGTATGACAAGCATTTCTATGAGTCCCGACCACGCTAGGTCTGCTTAGTAACGAGGCGTGTCGTTGCCAATCATTGTGTCTTATGATCAGTATCCTAGCAGTAAGCCAAATTGGGGTTTGAGCAACTTCCAGCGATAAACTTTTGAGTCGTCCATAGAATATCCGCTTCAAAGATCATTGCTGACGGGTCCAGAATGCGGTCGATAATATGCACGATCCCCTGTCCCGTCAAGTCAATTTTGATCCCAGTACCAAAACCGGGAGTACCTAAACAACAACTCACCTTGGTTACTGGAAGATTCCCTTCGTTAATAGTGGACGCCTTGTTCAGAACAACATTATCACCAACAGTCTGTGCACCCACAAACAAGTAAGTGCCCGTCTGGAACCGAGTGTAGGTGCTGTTGAAAGTAGTCGTGTTCAACTTCGTGTTGGGCACATAGTGGTGTTGCAGGACATTACCCAACCAGAACTTGCCCTTCGGCGTGACTGAGAAGGTTTTGAAGTACTGGCCGGTGTTGTTGAATGCTGCATTTGAAGGCGCGAAGAAGGTATAGTCCCACGTCGGGATTGTGTCGAATGCCTCCGTAAACCCTATGATGTACTTTAGCATTATACTTGCTTCTAAGGGAATTCATACTATGTGAATTTACCAGAGCTGTTTGCAATTACTTCGGCGAGGACGCTCAGATCACTTCTTGACCGAATGAAGTCGAGGAGGGACTCCGTGCCTTCGGGTTTAGGCACTATGTATTGCCCAGCAGGCTTCGGCGCATAGGATAGAGGACGTCTGTCGTGGCTCTCGGCCGCGACCGTTCCGCAGAGAGCCACGATGGGAATGATATCACATAGCTTCATAGTATCGCACGATAAAGAACGGATACTGGAGATAAGCAGAGAAGTAATGCCTACCACGATTCCTCCAACGACAAAGAAGCCGGGTTCTTGTAAACATGCAATTGTGGTGACGAGCGGACCACCCCGCGTAACGTAACGGCTTCAACAAGTGGAGAGCTGGATTTGCCAGGAAAGTGTTTCGGACAGGGGGCAGGAAGGCATTGTGGAGTAACTCGCGGGGAAGCTGTCACATCGCACGTACGAATATGGGGATGCGGAGTGCCATGAGAACACTCCACAACAAGCTATACCGCACCAATTAGGGCTTGATTCCACATGCTCACCCAGGAAACCAAAATGCGGAGTGATATGATGTTCCATCGGAACGTGGGGACTGATATGAACAGAACCGGAGCCGAAGCCGGGACTTCCTCCGGGGCCGGAATCCCATAATCTTAGCTCCACTAGGCGTGATGCCGCCAAGTCTCGGTGAGATTTTGAGTAGCAAAGAGCTGGCTACGGCAGCTTCTGGATGCGTAATTTTAACATATCCTTGAATTCCAAGGCTGCTCTGCAGTCCCACGAGTTGGACTGAGCGAACATCGGCTATTTCCCCAGAGCTTCCCCGAGACCGATAGTGGGAAGAATGGCGGCTAGGCCTGCATCCTTATTGTCGTAACTGATGGCTATAAGACACAGAAAGTTTTAGACGCGAGTTAAAAGATTGGTCAACCAAACTGCATCAAGTCATGTACCGTCTGGCTTCGACCATGTCCCGGGTATTTCTTTGGTCTCTCCTGGCCCTCCCTGTCTTCGGGGCCGGTTACAGCACCACTTCTGGATTCAAACCACAGCTAGGTAAGATCACTCGAAGCCCGTTTCGATCTATTGTCACTAGAGCACTAATGCTAAACAGGCTGGAATTCATGGAATACCTTCAAAGCCGAGATCAATCAGGAGCTTATCGAAGAAACAGCACAGTCTCTCGCTAGCACCGGCCTGGCTAAAGCCGGCTATGAGTACGTCGTCATGGACGCAGGCTGGCAGTCCCAGAACCGAGATCCCGAGGGACGCCAACAGGCCAATGCTAGTCTCTTTCCCTCCGGTATCGCGGCAGTGGCAGATTACATCCACAACCTCGGTTTGAAAGTCGGCATCTACAGCGACGCAGGGATCTTCGACTGCGACTTTCACCCGGGCTCATGGGGCTACGAGGAACTTGACGCGGCTATGTACGCATCGTGGGGTATCGACTACCTCAAATACGACAACTGCGGCGGGTTCCATGCCGGCACGGCGGCGCAATATGATCGGTTCGCCACCATGCGGAATGCGCTTAAGTTGTCGGGGAGGGACATCTTCTACTCGCTATGTCAGTGGGGACACCAGTTCCCGTGGCTATGGGCCGACCAGATCAGTGACTCGTATCGGATGTCGGGGGATATCTACGCTAATTTTACGACGGATCGGTCGGGGGTTTGTAGTACGGCTTATTGTTTGAATACCGGGTATGCGGGGGTGAGTGTGTTGACTATGATTCGGAAGATGAGGGAGATTTCGGGCTTTCAGAAGCCTGGGGCGTGGGGTAAGTTGGTCTTTTTATCTCCTTGTATGCCAGGGGTCATCGTGCTGATTTGAATGGTAGCTGACATGGACATGCTTGAGATTGGCACCAATACTATGAATGTGCTGCAGGAACAGACGCATATGGCGTTCTGGGCCGCTCTCAAATCGCCACTCATCATCGGCTGTGACGTAAGAAATATCTCGGACTCGTCTTCGGCGGTCCTGACCAACAAGGATATGCTTGCAATAAACCAGGATGATTTGGGCATCGCAGTTACCTATGCCCCAGAGCTGTCAACTGAGGGATCGGTCCAGGTCTGGGGAGGCCCGTTGAGCTATGGGAAGAACAACTATGTCATTCTGGCGCTGAATTACGGAAAGGATGCCACGAGAATCAATATTAAAGTGGCTGACTTGCCGGGCTTTACTGGCTGCAAGATAGGGGCGACTTATGCAAAGGATGCATGGGAATCGAAGAGCTTGGGAGCAGTAAATGGTACAATTTGGCTGCCAGGGGTACTTGTACATCAAACCAAAGTTATATTGTTATCTTGTTAACCATTTTAAGTGTATCACAATACGTAATACCGTCTCCCTGGTTTCCTTCCTCGTCCGACTCATGCAAACTATCTCGATCTCGACTTTAAGGAACCCCTCTTCCCTCCCTGGTAGCCTTCGCCAACTCGCTTTGAGCAACATCATCTGCATATGTCTTGTAGATGGGTACATAATACTGCTCCTCGCTCGTCGTGTTCTTAATACTTTCCCTCCCCTCCAGAGCCTCAACCCACTTCCGCCACCTAACCCAGACCTTCTCATCATCACCCCCTTGGCCAGGTGCAGGTATTCCCACCCCTCCTTTAAACCGATCGAACACCCAATGCCTCAAAACCCACGGTATTAAAACCAGATCCACGAACCCAACCTCCTTTCCCCCAAAATACGGACCCTCCTCATCCAGCTCCTTAGCATACTCAAGCAGCTTGCCCCTATACTCCCCCCTCAAGTTATCCAACCTCGCCTCCCCATCTTCAAACTGCCCCGGCTGGAACTGCAGGAACCGGTAAAAAGCCGGCATGACCCTACTTGTCACGAAATCAGTCCAGATTCTTGCCCTCGCCCTCTCGAATTCGTCCTCGGGCAGGAGACGAGGTTTGTGGTCCGGGTACTTGTCCTCGAGATACTCGAGCAGCACCGTGCTCTCGTAAAGCGCCTTTTTAGGCGCGACTACTAGTGTTGGCACCAGGCCTCGGGGATTGGCACTGATGAGATCCGCGCCTTTGTGGTAGGGGTTCACCTCGACGTATTGGTAGGGGATGCCCCTTTCTTCGAGGGCGAGCCAGACGCGTTGGACGAAGGGGCAGAACCAGCCCGCATAGAGTTTTAGGGGCTGCGGGGAGGAGTGGCGCTGAAAGGTGTGAGTAAAATATCGCTCCGGGTCGGCTTGTTTTGAGTTCCTGGGGGTGTAACTCACATCGACTGTCTCCTTCGCGAGGCCGGTCGCTACGGGGTGCAAGTCTGCGTCCGGTAGAGGCATTGTGCCAGTTCTGTTGGTTGTTTTGAGAAATTCTAGTAGGACTTGTTGGTTCAAGTAGATTATTGTTTCGTTCAAAATATTCGCACAAATTGATTGACGAGGTCGGCGCCGCAAGTCCAATCCCCAATGACCATCTCGTCCGCAATGACGTGATAGTGGCAATATGATGCTCAGCACCCTCAGTATTCCTTATGGAGAAGAATGGTATGATTTATCAGTTATACCACTCGGAAAGTTTTCAATTCGCGATGAGATATGAAATTGTTTGCAAGTTTAGTTCCAGCATGGCTTGGTGGACTATGTGGCGAAACTATTATGCGCATCATCAAATGCCGCTCTGCTTGGAGACTCAGGGTTTATGTAAGGTTCAGCCGGTCCGGTGTTTATTGCTAAGCCGTTACTTTTACCCTTACTCAACTAGTCGCTGTTCCCTTGACGTGTACCTTGGCAGCTCCCTCTGTCAGCATTGTCGCCCGTTGAAGAAGGTACTAGTTGTGCGCATGCAGTATCTCGGCGGTGATGTCGCTCAACGCGGCACTCCGATAGCCTTGAATAAAAAAAAGTCGCCGACTAGCCTTCTCCCACCGTCCTCAGGTGGTCGTCAGCAAAAACAATAGTATTTGCAGCGGAAGTCCTAAATGGTCAATATTGTGTTGCTAATCTGGATCGTACCAATCGTCCTACGAAATGCTACAGGGGAATGCCTGACCCCACCAACCCACCAGGCCGCCGACATCGCTGTATAGAACTTCCAGCAACCCCGGACGTTCAGTGGTTACCCCGCGGAGCTTACAACCCCACCAAAAATTCTCTAGCAGGTTGAAATAATTGGTAGAATTTTTCTTTCCATCCGCATTGAGCGTTTCTAGAGACTTCAACTGAGAAATTCCTTCATTGTTTCCCAGTACTTGCCCATTTCCACGAAGCAAAAGTAAACATGGCTGCCAACGGTACCACGTACGCCCTCTCGGGCGCTCACAAAGAGGTAAGAAGTCTTTGTCTCGCCAACTCTGTGCCAAGTCCATTTCTGTTATGCTGACCTCTCCGTCAGTTACTCGAAAAGTCGCTGGTCGATTCCGACCCCGAGGTTGCCGAGATCATGACCAAGGAGATCCAGAGGCAGCGCGAATCCATTATCCTCATTGCCTCCGAGAATGTCACGTCCCGCGCTGTGTTCGATGCCCTGGGCTCGCCCATGTCCAACAAGTACTCCGAGGGTCTGCCCGGTGCCAGATACTACGGTGGAAACCAGCACATTGACGAGATTGAGATCCTCTGCCAACAGCGCGCCTTGAAGGCATTTGGCCTCGATTCCGAGAAGTGGGGTGTCAATGTTCAGTGCCTGAGCGGCAGCCCTGCGAACTTGCAGGTCTACCAGGCCATCATGCCTCCCCATGGCCGGTTGATGGGACTCGATCTCCCCCACGGTGGCCATCTCAGCCACGGCTACCAGACTCCGGCCAAGAAGATCTCAGCGGTTTCCACCTACTTCGAGACCATGCCCTACCGCGTCAACATCGACACGGGCATCATTGATTACGACCGTCTCGAGGAGAACGCCCAGGTGTATCGACCCAAGGTGCTCGTTGCTGGTACCTCTGCCTACTGCCGCGAGATTGATTACGCTCGCATGCGCAAGATCGCCGACTCGGTCGGTGCCTACCTTGTCGTTGACATGGCTCACATCTCCGGTCTCATTTCGGCTGGGGTTATCAAGTCTCCCTTTGAGCACGCAGATATTGTTACCACCACCACCCACAAGTCGCTTCGCGGCCCCCGTGGTGCTATGATCTTCTTCCGCAAGGGTGTTCGCAGCACCGATAAGGCGGGCAAGCAGGTTATGTACGATCTCGAGAACCCCATCAACTTCTCCGTCTTCCCCGGTCACCAGGGCGGCCCCCACAACCACACCATCACTGCGCTTGCCGTAGCCCTGAAGCAAGCCGCATCCCCCGAGTTCAAGGCCTACCAAAAGCAAGTTGTGGCCAATGCCAAGACTCTCGAGGAGAAGTTTAAGGCTCTTGGCTACAAGCTTGTCTCTGATGGCACTGACTCTCACATGGTCCTGCTGGACCTGCGCCCGCAAGCTTTGGATGGTGCTCGTCTCGAATTTGTCCTCGAGCAGATCAACATTGCCTGCAACAAGAACAGCATTCCCGGTGACAAGTCCGCCCTCACCCCGTGCGGTATCCGTATCGGTACTCCCGCCATGACATCGCGTGGCTTCGGCGAGAAGGACTTCGAGCGTGTTGCCGAGTACATTGACCAGAGTATCAAGATTTGCAAGGAGGTCCAGGCTGCCCTGCCCAAGGAGGCCAACAAGCTCAAGGACTTCAAGGCCAAGGTCGGTGCTGGCGACAATGCGAAGATCAACGACCTCAAGAAGGAGATCTCTGCATGGTGCTACACTTTCCCTCTGCCCGTTGAGGGCTGGAGAGTGGATGCTGGCATTTAGTTTGTTTGGCATGCAGCTTGTAGGAGCTCGGACGAGGGTTCAACATAAGTTGGCGAACAGGGGCAACTCAACTTTTTCCGGTGTTCAAGAAATAGGAGTTCAACATAGGAAACACGGTCGACCTAAACCGGTATATCTGGTGCATTTTTATCGGGCGTTCATTGTGCCAGATCAGGGAGTCTGGAAATCACTTGGTCTTGATTTATATACTGCTTCAACGCAGTCAGAAAGCGACAAGAACGTCGCGCTTGTGTACTAAATAGTCATCTACAAATGTAACCACAAAGACGGTTCTCGGCAAACACCGGCCGGGATCAACAATACGTGTTCCATCCAGCTAAGCCATCATTATTCGGAAATGTGAACACGCAAATGTATACCCTACTGTTTCACTACTGAAGTTCTATCGTAATCACCAGTCCAGTTCAAACAATGTATCTGAACCACGGCGCACTGTCCGCCAGATCCCGCTCCAACAACTTCTCCTCGTCGGTCAAGTCCTGGACTCCGGCTCTACTTGACACAGCATCACGGCGTCGATTCTCTCGGCGGCACCAAATCGTCATGAAAAGGGTCAAGAAGAATGCCATGCTACCAAACATTAACAAGTGCCAGTAGTTTATATAGTGACATTGGACAAGGAGGTTAGACGCTTACCTCACAAATCCGATGAGGATACTGTGCCCGGTGATGTACCGCGGACCGTCGCGCTTCAGGTATACGTAGGAGGCAACGATGCCTCCGCAATTGCCACCCATGACTTGCATAGCGATGCCCGTTCCACGCTTGAGACTGCCGCCGATGTTGGCGCCGTTCCAGGCCATGCCGAGGGGGATTTGGGGATAGATTCCTGTCCACAGTTTCATCAATACTTGTCATCCCGGAAAAATTCGGAGGTAAGTAGTCTAACCAATAGCAGCAAGGACGGTCCCCGTATACTGCACCGACGCATTCCCACTTCCCGCCAACAAAGCAAAGCCCGCAATCCCCACGAGCTGGAATACCATCAGGAAAACGCCGCGCTGCCTCGCGCGGTCAGCAAACCAGCTTGCGGCGATGGTGAAGAAACAAGCGAAGACATAAGGCGGAACGCTCATAAGCTGGGCGTTGTTGGCAGAGTACCCCATGTTATTGATGATGGTGGGCAAGAATAGGGCGAAGGAGTAGACTGAAATGAATCCGGCCATGCAGATCAGGCAGTGAATGTAAATCTTCCAGTCGCTCAGGGCTTGCCACACGTATTTCAGGTCGAAGTCGTTGGACAAGTGGCCATGGTCGGCGAGGAGGCGGCGCTCGACTTCGTCGCGTTCGTGGGGGAGGAGGAACTGGGCGCTGGTTTTGCGGGGTGGGATGTTAATGGGATGGCGATGGGACAGGATACGGCCAAAGGTGGTTGGTTACTTACGTAGAGGGGTAATCGTAGATTGCCCAGTACGCGGTGAAGGAGACGAGTATACTCAGGAGACCTTCCAGGATGAAGATCCAGGACCAGGCAGATAGTCCACCAACCCCGCTAAGAAAGAATTGTCAGAGTTTGCAGGACGCTGTAGGCTAAATTTGTAAAGGCGCGTACCTCATTTCTGCGATCCCCCGTGCGAGTATACCACCAAACGCCCCGGCAAGCGTCGCAGCAGAGAAGAACATGGCCATGCGGAAACCCGTCTCATAGCGACAGTACCACTGCGTGATGTAATAGTTCACGCCCGGAAACAGGCCACCCTCGAAAACGCCGAGGAAGACTCTCGTAGCCATGAGCCCGGAGTAGTTCTTGACGAATCCTTGGCCGATCATGGCCGCAGACCAGCAAACCATGATGATGGTCAGCCAGATGGAAGGTCGGAGACGCTTCATCATGATGTTGGAGGGGATTTCTGGGAAACTAAGGGTTAGCGTTACTGCTGCTCGTGGTATCCTGTTTTGTCGAAGGTCAGGGGCGTTTCTCACCTGCAGCTATGTAAAATGGGAATAGGATCGCAAGACAGTCATTGTATTGAATTCCTGTGAGACCGAGGTCCTGCTCCAGATGGTCGAGACGTGCATTGCCAATATTGGTACGATCGAGGAAGCAGAGACTACAGCTGGTTAGAAAAGTATCGATGTAGTCGGGAGCAATGGTGGAATCACAGGTAAATCAAGCTCATAAAAGGGATGAGATGCCAGTCAAGCTTCCGCAGAAGCGTCTTGGTAGCGTTCTGGTCGAAGCCCTGTAATTCTGCCACGTCCAGCGAGGCGGACCCAGACGACTTCTCAGGCTTGGTAGCTGTAGTGACGCCTGCGACGACAGGTACGACTTCGTGCATTTTGATAGACAGTACTACGTACAATTACGTACACGGCTGGAAAGCCTGGAGATAGTGAGGACGGACGGAAGTTTTCTAGTTCGTAAGTTCAGGAAGTGTCGGGTCGACGCTTTTGTGTCAGCTTAAGCATCAGTACACTGCATGTCAGAGGGGGATAATGTACCTACGGAGGATTGCAACTGCCAATTACTACCCTACGCAGTGTAACGTGATGAACTGCTCGCCTTCGGGGAGCCAAACTCGGCCCGTTTTCCAATGGAGAAAAGAGGCACGTAGAGTGTACAGACGCCACACGGAAAGATCAAACTCGACTGCCGGGATTCAAGCTTCATCGCCCTCTATTCGTCTTCCGCGTAGCTGGCTTGCACCTTCCCGACTAATTGGCTAAATCTAGAGCGTAAATCGCAAACGAGGTTAAGTAAGGCAGATGCTGCAAGGATCCTTTTGCTTTTGCTGTAAGCTGCATCGCTAAGCACGGCCAGGCTGGGTGGTACAGGGCGCACATTTGCACCAATAGATGTAAAACACAAGGATGAGGTGTCGCTGAAGGAAGTGAAATAGGATAGGCGGGTGGATGGATGGTGCTGATGCCAAGCATTGTAAATGAGTGCCACATCGGGATTACGAACGTCACGAAGGAGACGGGCGCAAATACACCCATGGGTTATCTTAGTGCTGAATTTCTTGGTACCCATTCCTGGAAGGGATTTCGGTCCAGAATCTTATATTCGACAGGGTAGTGTTTGATCACTTTTGGCACGTCAGTGACACGAGCTACTCCCCAGGGCAGCTCCTTATAATGTGGTACCAGTGCATGCTTCCTTGCTTCAACGCTATTCACCCGTGTCCAAACATTTCTGCCTGCATAGCCACTATGTTGCAAATCCTTTCTGGTGGTGCATATACATAGTGTTGACCAATGGTGGACCAACCGCCGAGCATACCGTACGGCCGAAAGATGTTGAAGACAAAGGGAAGACCCGCCCCAACCATGTCCCCGGCGCCGTTGAGCGGTAATGGTCAGCATCCAAATGTAACTACAGATTCTATAGCGACGTTTTGGTCTGGGAAGCTAGCCGTGAATGGGACTTTGCCCCGACGCCACCTTCCGGTCTAAATCTTGGTGTGGCACGCCTTCCCACAAGTCCCTTGATTGGACCGTTGCCCAGCAGTAAGACTCGGATTGACTGAAGTACGTATCCTCATCTTGCACTCCTATTTCCCTACAAACGGGTGTGCGAGACTCCACCGAGGTTGAGATAAAATTACAAATTGCTGAGGATCACCAAGTATGGGGCCCTGTAATGATTGGGACTTCGAATACTTGCCTACGGTGAGAGATGACCATGAGCGTCTGTCCACCTTGCATGCTTACCGAGCTCATGTTCAATCTGTCGGGTATAAAAGCAAGGGTCTCGCTATTTCAGAAGCTATTATTTTGTGGGCCTTTTCTGTGCTGCTGGGAAGTAGGGTCAGCTTACGGTTGCATAAGTCACATGTGGCACAATATAAAGGCCAGCCTCTCGGTACTAGTGAATGAAGTTGGTGTTACACGAGCCTAGCAAGAGATATTTGTGTATCTGCAAACATTCTTACGAGAAATTGCAGCATTCAAAGATGAGCCATTGCGTCGTATTTCCTTTTCAAGGGCAAGTAGACTCGGTCACCAGCGTATCATCCCAATCAATAGGCTTGCATCCCTGACATGTGGAGAGCAAGTCAAACTTCCATCAAAGTAACTTTTTGTCGTAAGTCATTAAGAGCAGTGCGGAAGAGTTTCAAGCCTGCAAATTCCTCGAACTCCAGGTAAAAATAGGTATGATCCAGATAGATGCCTGATTTCGATGATGATCAAACTATCGGGTGCAATTTCCTTTGCCCAAGTCCCAAAGGTAGGCTAAAGATGAGTATAGCCGCCAAGGCGAGATCTAGTATACCGCGACGACCGCAGAACCGTAATTCATCTAGTGCGTCACTTTCCTCGGAATCCTGCCTGACAATAAGAATTATTCTTTCGCCCGTACTTCCATGCTACAAACCGTAGTAAATAGACTATTCTCCAGGCGTACAAAAGCTATCACGTAGTTATGCACAACCAGCGAGTACGATCCACGCGGAGCTATATGTTCCAAGAAGCTTGTCCTGTATCAACGCGTAGATGATGCAATTAGATAACGATAATTCTATTGCTTTGGGGTGTCATCAATGGACGGGAGACATAAGCACTGCGTCCGTTGGATACCTCAGTGCATCGCACACGAAGCGGACTACCGATAAATCCAGAAGCTTTACTTATCTAATTGGCCATGCTTCATCACCGCAATATCCTCGGTTTGGGCTATATCAACGATACTGACACTATGTCGACTTCTAAAATCCTATTTCCTTCGATGTATTTTCGGCAATGCCAGTCTCAGGGATAATTGGGCGATGGCCAGTTCCTCCGGCATGTCTGTTCTTGACTAACCTTACATGATAGCATCAGGGGCTTCGCGAATACGACAAGGTTCGAAACTGAAGCCTTATGAATTATTGTGTTTTTAGAATACTTTGTATCATAAAGTGCTCTACTCTAGCGTAAAAGCAGCACCCGGTGTGCATAGAATCCGACCCTAAGTCCCGCTGTCGTCGACAAATTTGAAATGAAGGAGCATGCTACCAAATGATACCAGTTGGAAGCATATTCTCTGAAGTATGTTGCCCTAGAAGTATGAAAAGAGGCTTGACTAATTGCGCGCCAGCAGTCGCGGTAATACGTAATACCGTCATGTTCATATCTTTGCCCCTGCCAAGTCATGCACTTCCCATCCCCTTTTCCGATTTAGGCCGAACAACAACCCGCAACCCCTTAGACTCTCGACTCGGCAGCGGGTTGAACCCATCAACAACGATCTTCAAGTCCCTCTCGAAAACAACATCATGCAATTGCAGTCTGTCACCAAACCGTCGCACCACAGCAGCAACAGTCAGGTACAGTTCTGCCCAAGCTAGGTTAATTCCCAGACAGATACGAGTTCCACCACCGAATATTACCAGCCGCTTCCGTCGACGGCGCACCTCAGGCTCATCGAATGGCATCCAGCGCTCGGGTTCGAAGGAGTTCGGCTCCGGAAAGGTCTCTGGATCTTCGACCATGTCTATGAACGACATGCCGACCGGAAGTCCGCGAGGAATAACCACATCACCATAGGAATACGACACATCTGGAGATACGCGCGCGAAGCGATGGGGCAGACCTTTGCTGATTCGTAAGCCCTCATGGAGCAACGCCGTCAAAAACGGCAACTTCTCCAACTCCGTCGCCGGGGGCAATACAGCCGGGTCAGGTATAGCCACTTCGAGCTCCCGATACAGACGAGCTAGATGATTCGGGTGGGTCAGCAACTGATAAATCGTAGCATCAAGCGTGTTAGCCGTGGTTAGCGACCCGGCCGCCGTCAAAGCTTGCGCCTCCTCACACAACCGCGCGTTTGTCTTTTCCTCCGGCGGCACATCGGCGTCGAGCATAGCGTCGAAGATGGTAAATCCATCCTCGCCGGGTGGCTTCTCGCCGCGGGCATGGCGGTCCACTACGGCTGCCACTTGCGCCGTGAGCTCCTCTTGGCGTTTATTTGCTGCTAGGATACCCGGGTCTGCCAGCAGGCGGGGAAAGAGACTTAGGAGGTGGAACACCCAGGGGAATTGCCGGACGGAATGTCCCAAGCGGCTGGTGGAGATGAGGCCGTCGTGCCATGTCTGGGCGAATTCTGGCAGTTCGAGGAAGTCGTAGGAGAAACCGAAGCAGACGCGGGAGATGATGTCGAGGGTGACGGCCACGAACGCGTGGGTTAGTGACACGACGCTTTGGGTCTCGCTGGATGCTTCGAGACGTGCGCATAGGCCGTTGACTTTTCTCACGATAAGGGGCTCAATAGTCTTAATCGAGGACTTGGAGAAGAAAGAGCTCAGTTGACTTCTTCGCTGTCTGTGCAGATCGTGTTTGATGGTTTTGAACATGGAATTGCGCGTCCATCTGGAATCGTTGGTCAATTATGCGCCCAGGGCTTGCGCCTTGTCGAAGGCGAAAGTCCGTACGATTGTCTCACAAACCAAATCCACTTATCGGTCTTCCTTTTGGCTGAGCTCGCGTACAAGATGTCGAAGAACTCCGGATCGTTGCAATGAATTTCATCCGGATTGATCCGCACAAAGGGGCCTGGTGGTTTATCAGTTCTATCTTTGGACTGTAGATGACCGCAACGGAAATGTACCATATTCTTGATGTAATTCTCGAATTTTCCACGTGTACTGGCCTTCCTTCCAAACATCATAGTAAAACTCGTACCAGAATGACAAGGCAGCTAATCTTGGCCCGGGAAATCGAGCTGATGGGCTGAAGTAAAGGCGATACACCGCCAGTAGCAACAGGTACAGCACAGTCATCACAGCCAGAAGGTCTATGACACTCCCTGATGGCAGTCGTAGTAATCTCAGGGAATCGAAAATCAACGTAGCCTTATTATTATCCATAATTGTAAAGATCAGCTGTATATGTCTGGTTTTCTTTCAAGGCAGGATTTATTTCTGCTCATGGATGAAGCCTAAAGGACAGAGTTCACATGAATCGGCCGAGGGTTGGTTTCATTAGCGATCCGTTACCCCGCGCCCTCTAGACTTGAGCGCTTCTAGATTAGTGGCGTCACATTAAAGCTCGCAAACACCCCTACGGAGGGAACAGATAACGACTGCCGCACAGTTGTATGATACACAAGGGTGCTGAGTAATAAGGTGCACTTCATGTGATTACAATGACGTGTTAATCCCACATCGCTTCGGTTGCCAACTTTGTTGTTGGCAAGTCGTTATATCTCTATTAAACGACGTTTTTAATTGCCTATATACTTAACTAATCGGTTTTGGACATCTCCAGCTTGGGACTGGACCTCTCGTATTCAGTCACAAGCGAGATCAGCGAGCGGTATTCTTCTTGGAGTGATGGAATCGAGTGCTGCATGATCTGAGATACGGAGCTATAACTGGAGCAACCATTCATCTAGTCCGAACTCTAATATAAATAAGTTGTATCGACAGTTATAGAAGGTCTATAATGGCTGACAGGATGAAATTCGACGCCGACAATACTCCGGTGGAAAGTAATTGAGCTTTATAGGAGGTTAACTAGGCAGTGGACTTGGTCGCCAGGCATGCTGATGATGGGCCATTACATCCTGATGAGGCACAGAATATTTGAAAAACATCGACCGGGTGATCTTGCCCCTGCTATTCACTCTATACTCATAAGTGCTCGGACGTTGGTTCAGATCACTATGCTGACGTTTCATTTCAGTCCAATTTGTCGACAAGTGCGTATGTAATATGGCCGGCTGACGTACCAGGACAAATATTTGTCTATTGGGACTACCCTGGGAGCGTCCGTGGTGCTGGACATCATCCAAGACAATCACCTTACATCTGACGAGTTTAACACTCTTGACTCCGCTTTATACATCGGCATGTGTCTATCAAGTTAGCAAAGCTTTTTCATTTAAAGGCTCACTAATATTCTAATGGGCTACTTAGTTTTTGCCTATACTCACTTCGGGGCGCTGCAAGAGGTCCCCGTGGCCAAGTATCTAGCGGCAAACATATTCCTATGGACGTTGTTTATGGTCTCCACTGTGTGTGTAAGAACTTTGGCGGTTTATGTAAGTCCTCTTATTCTTGTGCTGTGTCTTATGGAGTTCGCCGCAAATCTGATCATCACTTAATTATAGTCGTCCGGCGCTTCCTCCTAGGCGGCTCCGAAGGCTGCATCACCAACAGCTTCATGTTAGCAACATCCGCTTTCTCCAACCGAACATCCGTGTTCTACAACCGCACCGAGATAGGCAACGTATCAGCTGGAAGCTCCAATGCAACAGCCTCGGGATCATCGTCTCAGGTTTCTTCGCTTTCGGTGTTGTGCACTCCAATTTCAAGGCCAAGCCGGCTCCGTGGCTATTGGTGATTGTTTACGCGGGACTCACTATGTTCATCGGCGCTTGGTTATTGCTTGTCTCGCAAATAGTTCCGTCAACGCGCGGTTCTTGTCCAAGGATGAAATCGCGAATGCGGTAAGAGGCATACGGACTAATCAGAGCGGTACTGAGACCAAGGCTTGGAAGCAAGATCAAGCCCTTGAGGCGGTGAGACATATAAAGACCTGACTGTTTTTTTTTGTTTGCTGCGATTTCGTGAGTCGTCATTCATGCAGTTCCTTCGGGATCTAGGCAGAGCCTTAACACATTCACCCCAGGAATCTGCAGAATGGGGTTGAAAACAAGCATGGGTTGATCATCCAGTTGGGTTCACAAAGTTGCAGACGACTTCGTTGAGCATACCAGCGGGCATTTCCATGATCATCTTCATGACTCTTTCCACGATAATCCTCCGCTTCTACCCCGTAAGTAACAATCTTCCCTCATGCAAAACAATGCCGATGCTAACACCCGCTCCAGAACTCAAGGTGCTGGATCGCAGCCGCCTTCTTCATCCGTTCTGCCAGTGCTATTGCTCATACTTCCCCCCTGGGCCAATCGCGTACGACTCCTTTGTGCATACTACCTATTAAACTTTAGCGGCGCTCATCTCGGGCCATGGTCGTCTCTTGGGTTTCCGTCTCAATATAAGCCGAGGAACTATGTCCCTCACGGAATAACTCTTGTGGGCCGATCGTCAAGTTCAACTGTTAAGATTTCATGGGCCATTAACCTGTGCACCTTAGGCCTCTCTTGTGGCGGACTTTACCCTGCTCTTTACAACTCGCCATGTCCTGAACAAGTAAAACAAACGACGGCATGCATTGGATACCTCGCTTACGCAAGTAGAGTACGGCTACATCGAGGGGACTAAATCTGGAGGTCAAGTGGTTCATCAGAAAGCAGACAAGGGCATGCTGGACATGATGGACAGGCATAACTTCTCGTTGCGGTATGCTCTCTGATGCCTCCAAGTGTAGAAAGTGGCCAATCCCCAGTTTCTCAATATGCTTTGGAATAGGAGGATGCTGTAAGCAGCGCCGCCATCCTGTACCCGTTTCTGTGCAGGTGGATGACCGGCTTTCCATCTAAAAATTGCCATGACATCATGATACAAGTTACAATCATCGTGAATTGCATGCGCCAGATGCGTAATCCAGAGTTTTCCGTGTAAACGTATGAACAACCTCACACCCTTCACCTCCTCTCATCTGGCAAATCGAAAACCTTCCCCGGGTTCATGAGCCACTTGGGATCCACCGACCTCTTCAACGTCTTCATGAGCCCAATCATCTCCGCCCCCAACTCATCCACCAAGCACTCCTTCTTCCCAATACCAATCGCATGTTCTCCCGACACCGTTCCCTCCATCTCCAACGCCCTGCGCATCATATTATGCACCGCACATCTCACGTTCTCCTTCTGCTCCGCATTCGTGGGGTCGTAGAACATGGCCACGTGAAAGTTGCCGTCCCCGACGTGACCGATGACGCTCGCAAAAATACCGAGCTGGCTGCACTCCCTCTTGGAAACGTCGATGATCTCGGCGAGCCTGGAGAGTGGGACGGCGACGTCGGTCGTCCAGAGTTGGGTCCCAGGGGCTCGGATGCTGACCATAGTGAAGAGGGCCTCTTTCCGTGCGGTCCAAAGGTCGAGCTCATCTTGTTTCGTCTTGGCGAATTGAAACGGCCCTTCGGCAAGAGGCTGGATGATCTGGGAGACTCGTTTGATGTCGCTCTTGATAGCGTCGGTGGTGCCGGAGAACTTGAGGAAAAGGGTCGGCTTCTCGTCCCACTTTATTTTTCTTACCGTCTCGCTGCCGTGCTCATTTAGCACTCTCATCTGTACATCGTCCATCATCTCCAAGGCTGCCAGCTGTATGCCTGAGCGTATCAGTGACGATGCAGCCGCTGCGGCGTCCTTGATAGTGGGGAACGAGACTACGGCGACACTTGTGTCTTGCGGTATTGGCGCCAGCTTTAGTGTTACTTCTGTGACAATTCCCAACGTCCCCTCGGCGCCCACAAACAAGGACGTCAGGTTGTAGCCTGCGGACGTCTTTCGCGGCCGCCTGCGCGTCTTGATGACAGAGCCATCCGGCAATACCACCGTCAGGTTCAAGACCCAATCCTTCATAGTCCCGTACCTCATCGCGTTCGTGCCCGAGCAATTCGTCGACACCATCCCCCCAACAGTCGCCGTCGGCGACGGATCCAGAGGAAGAAAAAGCCCCGAGTCAACAATCTTCTTGTTCAGATCCATCCAGTTCACGCCAGGCTGCACCACCACATCCATATCCTCGGGATGGAAGGCAACCACCTTATCCATGAAGGACAGTTCAATGCAAATCCCCGAATAAGGCTGCGAAAAGTTGCCCTCGACGCTCGATCCTGCGCCGAAAGGGACCATGGGCACATTTCGCTTGTTGCATATCTTGGCAATAGCGACAACATCTTCAGTGGATCTCGGGTAGACCACCGCTACGGCGCGCTCGAGCGAGTTTGCTGTTGACCAGTCGCTGTGGCCATGGTGCTCTAACACGTCGATGTCGGTAGTCACGGCGTCCTGGCCGAGAGCGTCTGCGATTTCTTTGGCTGCCTTTAGCATCTCGTCACGACTTGCGTAGATGATACTGTCTTGCTTCACCGATCCACGGGAATGACTAAACGCAATGTTTGCGCCGATCCCTACCAGGATCATCGTCGTCGTCCAAAGCGCCTGCATCCAGCTGCGCCCGGCCCTGGAGGACGAGTGAGTACTGTTCCATCGTGCCTGTCCAGCGCGACCGACTTGCTGGGCCAGGGAGTAAGAGATCCTGGTCGGAGCTCTCAGACGAAATACCCTGGGGCATTGACACAAAATTCGTTGAGACATGCTCATCGATAGCCTTTGATTTAGAGACTCTCCGTTTGACTCCCTTCGAGGGGTATTGATTAGTGAGACGGAATTGAACTTCTGGGGGTCCGATTACAAAACGAGGTCCACTAAGATATCCATATGTACTTATGCGGGGTATGCTTCTAGGATCTAATCCGCAATGGAAAGCCAGCAGGGGCTTGGTAAACTTTTCTTGCAAATATATAGCCCAGCTAACACATATTCAGTCACATAGTTTACTCCGCTAGCAAGCTAAGTTTTGCATTTGGGCTATGTTCCACAGTATACCGATGGATTATCATAATATATAGAGATATCGCATACTACCTATCTCCGGTCCCCTAGAGTCCGCACTCTCCCCAGCACATTATATCTAAGCAGCTTCAAACGAGACTTGAAGGAAAATTTGGGTGTGAATCTTCCACTGGTAGGGGGCAAGGTTGGGAAGAGGAATTGCATTATAACTGACTTGAAACCGTTATTATCTAACATGGTGATGACAAACGAGTGGCATTCTGTTGTAAAAGGATCTCAATATGACCCAGAAATCTGATTCGGGCCTTACTCATCGATTGGTGGCATAGAATCTCACACATTCGGCTCGCAGTGTGAGTCTAGGTGCTCTTACCGTGGTTGAGTTTTGAAGTACAATTGCTGATGTTGGGGCGGCAAATTGTACACGGCCGGTTATGCCTTAGATTTCCGGATAATGATGACAACGTTAAAGTGCCTTCCCACCTTTTGGTCACTCTCATCCTCTTGAAAGCATCGATATAGAGGACAGCACTCTATTTGGTGGCCGTGTGTAACCGTCGGGAATTGGTCTGTAGATTGACGGGATACGAGGGATGGATTCCATATTTGGGATAGAACATTAAAAATACGAAAACACAAAGAAGAAAAAACAAGTATGAATCCGAAGGGGCATAGATGCTTATGATGCTGATGGAATATCCTCACGGGGCTCTGCTTCAACCTGTCACATCGGTTACGAATTTCTGATGACTCTGAATATATATAATAACGAGCCTTCCGCTGTTGAAGTCATGAAGAAGTATCTACAAATAACATTAATATGCGTATGCACTCTCCTCTTGGCTGTTCCCGGGCGGAAAGGTTCCCGGAACCTATTATACATGCAACAGTGTACAGACTTCGGAATATCAGTGCTCGCAGAGAGTTCGAGTCGGTGAACTAGCATAACATTTTCAAACTTCTGAAAGGGTTTTAACAGTGAGTTCTAGCAGGAAATATGTTGTTCAATACCTTTTTATATACATGCTCGAATTTCTGCATAATCCATCAACCAAGTGGATGAAGCCCTCGCGATTCACCTTAAACACGACCAGAACTGGCTTGGGACTTGAGAACATGGCGAGCGGTCTCCATTTTCTTCTTTTCTTTTTTTAAAATCCAAAATAACGATCCTATAACGATCCTATAGTGGCGCTTCCCCCGTGAGCTTCCTCAAGTTGAAACCCGGACAATAATGGCGGATCAAATTGCTGGCAGCAGCGATGCAAGAATAAACAGTGCGTACTCGCCATAAACTAAATAGCACAGTGTATCCGGACATAAGCCGGATTCCAAGCACCCTCAGGTAGGTACAGTACGGATTGGCGTTCACGTTCGTTTGGCTATGGCCACGGAGCTTCTATAGCTGTTTTGACCCAATGCTGAACTGTGAGTTTCAAATGGATGACACTTGAGCTTGTGTGGCAGAAGTAATTAGTAAGGTGCGCTTGCCAGCTTCATGTGCGCTCTCCTTTGATACGGCGTTCGTTGGTGCCTGAGAAAAGTGCTTCCGATAATCCGGGGAAGCGGGTCTTGGCATTATCGGCTGGTTGCTCTGCCAGACGCTTTATCTTGACCTGTGTCATGGTTGCCGCTATTGTGTGGCATCTAGCAGGGGCTACCGCAGGCTCTGATTCGCCACAGTTGGCAGGCACAACAAGCACGCGCCACACACACCAAGTTATCCAAGGCAGCCACCTACGCCAGCCACCACGCACGAGCACCTGCCCTGGCCCACACTGGTCGGTCAAATGACAAGGACTCCACACGTCCCCATCACAGCTATCATAGCTCAAACCCGCGCAATCAACCCGCCTCCATGTCTATCTCTCCTTCTCTCCTACGTCCTCCATTCTCATCCGTCAACACATCGGCATCTTCTTGGAGATTTCATTACGTTGCCATATTCCTTTAAGCCATTGATCGTCATTCCTACCTCTCTTAGTCTTCCTTTCCACTACTACACAAGTTGCCCATCATGAAGGGAGCTCTGCTTACCGCGGCAGCTGTGCTGCTTGGCTCTGCCGAGGCCGGAGTGCACAAGATGAAGCTCAAGAAGGTCCCCCTGTCGGATCAGCTGGTTAGTGGTGATGGTGGATGATTTGCGATGATAAGTTCTGATGATTTCGGACAGGAGAACATCCCCATCGACACCCAGATGCAAGGACTTGGCCAGAAGTACATGGGCGCTAGACCCGAGAATCATATCGAGGCCATGTTCAGCCAGCAGTCACCCATCAACGCGGACAAGAACCACCCTCTCCCCATCAGCAACTTCCTGAACGCCCAGTGTGAGTGCCCAAATCCCAACTTTCAAGTCTCTGCTTCGTCTTGGTGGGTGTGATGAATACTGATTCCAATGCGTGCCTGCAGACTTCTCTGAGATCTCCATCGGCACGCCGCCCCAAGACTTCAAGGTCATTCTCGACACTGGCAGCTCAAACCTTTGGGTTCCTTCCCAGTCTTGCGGCAGCATCGCTTGCTACCTCCACTCCAAGTACGACTCGTCGGCCTCGTCGACCTTCAAGAAGAACGGCTCCGAGTTCGAGATCCGTTACGGATCTGGTAGCTTGAGCGGCTTTGTCTCTCAGGACACCGTCGCTATTGGCGACCTAAAGATCAAGGGCCAAGACTTCGCTGAAGCCACCAACGAGCCCGGTCTGGCCTTTGCCTTCGGCCGGTTTGACGGCATCCTGGGCATGGGCTTTGACCGCATCTCGGTGAACGGCATCGTCCCGCCTTTCTACCAAATGGTCAACCAAGGCTTGATTGACGAGCCCGTCTTCGCATTCTACCTTGCTGATTCCAGCGACGATGACTCGGAGGTCGTTTTCGGTGGCGTTGACAAGGACCACTACACGGGCAAGATCACCGAGATTCCCCTGCGCCGTAAGGCTTACTGGGAGGTCGACTTGGACTCCATTTCATTCGGTGACGAGACGGCCGACCTCGAGAACACTGGTGTCATTCTGGACACCGGTACCTCTTTGATCGCTCTTCCCACCGATCTGGCCGAGCTGCTCAACAAGGAGATTGGTGCTAAGAAGAGCTACAATGGACAGTACACTATCGACTGCTCTGCCCGCGACAACCTACCCGATGTCAGCTTCAAGCTGAGCGGCTACGACTTTGCCATCACCCCCTACGACTACATCCTTGAGGTCCAGGGAAGCTGCATCTCGACCTTCATGGGCATGGACTTCCCCGCCCCCGTTGGCCCCCTTGCCATTCTCGGCGATGCATTCCTGCGCAAGTGGTACTCTATCTACGACCTCGGCAAGGGCACTGTCGGCTTGGCCAAGGCCAAATAGGATGTGATTCCAATGTTCGACTTCTATCACAGGAGTTGCGTCGGGGCCTGGAGAACGCTATGAGATTGCACCAACTACTAGGTTTTTTGATTCGACAAATTAGGCGCGTATCAGAGTGAATAGGGGTCTGAAGCTTGAACTGAGTGCACACCAGATATTGAAACCAAAGAATGGTTCTTGCATGGTTATTGGAGATCTAATTTGCATTAGTGATGACTGGACTCGACATGTACAATACAACCACCATACGGGCCTTTTTTTGCACCCATACTCGACTCCCCATTTGATGTGTGAACGTGCTATTGTAGCTTTCAGGTGCGTCCTGAGGGCGTTTTTCAGTTCGCAAGGGCGCTTGGTCGTACCTCCGCAACGACTACCTTGGCGACCTACGAATATGACAGTCCCGTCTTGTATTGGAAACTCAAGTGGTATGGTCTAATGTTTCAGTGGCGACCCCAGCTCCAAAGGTTGGTGTAGCGTCTCGTGTTGTCTCTCGAGTCGTCCCTACCGATGACAGCGTCCCACTGCTCCAGATCACGTCCTGAATGCCTTGTCATCTCAGAATCACTGCCCTACCTCAGCTGGACCCAATAGTCATACCAGTCCGATATTTGATGGGTGCCCAGCCTTTAATGAGTGCCATATGTATGCCTCAGCGTAATGTTCCACTCGGCGCCCATTTGTGACGCAATCTCATATGAGTGCGGCCCTATTCCATCAGATAGTATAGTCCCCATTCTGCTCAAAATCGACGAACCCAGAGAACTGGTCATCCCTGACCATAAAATTACTCACCGCTAGATTACTATGTGAGAAAATATACTACCCCATCTTTGGTATATCCTTCTTCAGAAATCACCGCTCGTCAGCGTCTACCCTCCTCCGGTCTAGTGCCTGCTCTACCAGGTTCCAGAAGTAGTCTTCCCTTTCAAAAAGCTTAACCGGCTCTTTGCCCCCCCCTCCCCCCCACACACCAAATAACCCCCATCGACCCCGGAGAGCCTATCCGAAGTCACCTCATGCAACTCCCTTAAATGCCCCGCCACCTGTTCTGTAAGCCCCTCCTCCGTCTCCTCGTCCATCCCACTCCACAAATCCTCTAGCGTTCACCCGGAGATTCTTTCCAGCAACAAAAATGCACTGTCGTCTTCCTTCCATTTGGCCAGTACCTGCGGCGCCCGCGCCGTTTTGTAGCGGGTTGTGGATTCAAGGTTACAGACTTCAAAGGAGAGGAGGGAGAACGGGGAAGAAGAGCTTTGTTCGCCTTCGCGCTCGAGTTCTTCGAGACATGTATTCTCCAATGGTGCAGTACATAACGACATTATCTATTAAAAATGTTTCACCTTTTTACATTTTACTAGCGGTGCCTGTTCGATGCTGACCTGAGAGGAATGCTGGTGTTGCTTACCACTTAACTACCTAGCTGTAGGAATCTACAGGTCAGCTGCAATGAATATGGTATCACAGGTGGTTAAGCGGCAACTATAAAATCCAGAATAATTTTACCACAATTATAGCGTTGTTTTTAACCACTAGTGGCACCGGTAAGCCGCCACGGACTACGTGTCTGCTTAAACTGTCTTCTTACTGCCACGTTCATAACGAATTGCTTGGTGCTAGTTTGGCTGAACGACTGAATATGTCAGTGCTGGACATCGCTGAAGCTGCCTGAGTCCCAGATCCAATTTGCAGATTACAAGCGATAAATTTTGCTCTTACACAGTGAATCATCATCAATTGTTTGCCAGCAAGTTACGGTCAATGGCGCGGAGCCCCGTGCCAAGATCAAGGTAAGTTTACGGGACTCCGGACCAAAGTTACGGACGGTTTTTCGGAATTCTTGACTGCACGTTTGGGCTCCTATTGGCCGTTTCAGACTATTCCAACTAAGTTGAGTTGTCTGTTCCTAAATTCTACCGACATATTCCCTACCATAGCGTCTATAGGACAATATCTACATGTCAAGCTGGCACAACCCGGCCGCCCGGTCTACTTTCTTTCTTTCAAGATTGATTTTTGGAGTTGAATAATCCATTATTTCGCCTACTCTTCCTTAAATCCATTCAAAAGAAATTTACATATCAGGCCGAGAACATGACGGAGCGAGCCAGCCCTGAAGAATGGGAGCGGCCTTGGCGCCACGCGGGTACAATCAGCAGAGCCGCCACTCCTCGACAAGATGCCATCCGCCCCAGGACCATTTCAAACCCAGCTGAAATCTTCAACAAGATTCGATCTCGCGCAGGACTATCAAGCAAGAAGAAGCGTAACACAAAAATGGACGTGTCGAGCTTGATGGTGAAATCGGTCACAGGCAGAATGACTCCAGCCGAAGTTATACAAACTGTGCCTGTACTCTTTTATGATCCTCAGGAGTGGTCCAGGGCGGTACATAGCAGGTTATCGACGAATGAGATGCGGGAGAAGCGAGAAAGCGAGTGGGAGCAGATTGGAGGCCAATGGAGAAAGAAACTCACTGCCCCCCCTCGACTCTCTGATCGACCGCTGAAGAAGCGGGAACCTGATTACAAGACGTACCTCGGCGAGGCGCTGGTAGGGATCACATCCGACGATTTCACAGCGCATCAAGTCCTCGCGATCCTGTTCACCATGTTGCAGCGTGGGCTCGAGGACTGGTACCTCGACATGTCCGTCAACGGCCCTTTTTCCCGCTACAGCAGCAGCCGAGGCAAGATCATCAATTCCGACAGCGTGCGAACATCCTCGGCCAGCGAGGATTGGATGGATTCGCGAATGGCCAAACGACCTTCAGATGAGTCATTACAAGAGGGCCCAGGTCCCACATATTGGAGAGGACTGGGGGTTGCTACCACGACGAGGCTTGGATCTCCTCGTACTTCACGTAGCACGGTGCATCAGAAACAGGCTACTGAGATGGATGCGGAGGTGAGACGGCGGAGTTTCCGTAGCATCAGCTGGACGAACAAGAACAGGCAAAGCGGGAGCTATACTTCGTTTTGGTGACGTGAGCTAGCATCGGCGCGGTACTGTTTGGTTCCAGGAGTTCGCATCATAGGCAAGGCGTCTGTCGATTTATGCTGGGTGTAACTCCCAATTCTGTACATCAAACGGCGTTGTCAACTTGATTTACCTTTCCTTACCAATAAACCTCTGAAACCAGCAATCAATCCATTATTTTGCATGAACTGAATTGCAGAATGACTCTCCTGCCTTGGGAAACGTAATTCTTATTACAAACTAACTCGACGTCGTGAACTTTGAAGAATTGGTTCACTTCTTCAATTTTAGCTAGATTTCGGCGCCGATCTCTGGATTTATCTCGTAAACTAAGAGAAGCTGATCAAGTCCAATAATTTTTATCTACTAATGATTACGTTAACGTACTCCACAAGCAAGTTAGCCACTGTTTCTTGGCACCGTACGAACAACCTTTTAATTAACATCTTTACACATACCAAGATGGGATCGAATTGGAAAGAAAGCGATATGATTCTAGCGTGTCAGGCGCTTCAATCGAAACCCGAATTAAGCATCCGACGCGCTGCCCAACTCTACAATGTCCCTCGTACAACTCTAGCTAACCGAAAACGCGGACTACTATCTCGACGCGATACTCGACAATCTAGTCAGGAAATTGAGGACCTAATACGGGCGCATATAACCCATATCTCGAAGGAGGATTTCTTTTCGGCATTCTATAGGGCGTATCGTACGACTATAGCTAAGTCGAATATCCAGGCAGGTTTCAGGGGGACAGGACTTATTCCGTACGACCCGGAATATGTGATTTCACAGCTGGATATTAAGCTACATACGCCTACACCTCCTGGGAGCTCGTCTGGCGCCCCCTTAATCTGGGAATCAAAGACTCCAAATAACCCAACCGAGGCGCAATCCCAGTCTGAATACGTTAAAAACAGAATCGTACAGCATCAGAATAGCTCCCCGACGACAATACTTACGGCTATTGACCAATTTTCACGTGGTGCGACAGCTGTTATGCATCGGTTAGTTTTACTTGAGCATGAGGTTACTACACTTTGGAAGGCCAATCAAGAGCTAAGCCGTCGTCGAAGGACTAAAAATCGACAGCTACAAGATGGAGGATCTCTTAGTTTACGAGACGCTCAGGACTTACAGTCTCAACGGGATATTGAACAGCAGCTACAGGATGATATACGTGTAAGTCGTCGTCGTATGAGGCGCTGTAGGATCTGCGGAGAGCCCGGACATAATGCTCGTACTTGTGAGAATGATAAAGATACGCATGAGGAAGAGGATTCCGATTAGTTTGAATTATTATTTTTTAGTTTAGTTAAGTTATTGAAGTTATTCATACGGTGCCAAGAAAAAGTGGCCAACTTGCTTGTGGGGTACGTTATCCTGCCCTGTCAAGAATCTCAAACTCCACATCAGCAGTTATTTTCAACTTTCAACAGATAATGAACCAGAACAACATGATCATCATCTTTGTAATACGAAAGACGAGAATTGAAGGTTGTCGTTCTACCTCAAATATAGCAGGCCTAATACTTTGTGCCTTTAATTAGGTATTTGCTGAGTAGCGCACAAAAGATCCTGACCCGAGTGCAGGGCAAGTAGGAGCAAGTTTCCACAGCTGCAAGATTATAAATAGGGTTAAATGTAGGAAACATTTGTGCATGAGCAGTCTGGCATCAGTAACAGAAAATATATACGATTGACTACATGGAGTAGGAGCGGACTGTTGATAGGCGCATCAAGCTACAAATATGCTACAGAGTTGATACGTGACCCCATGGGGGGTTACCCTACAGAGATAGATAAGATAGATAAGATAAGATAAGAGCTATAAAAGAGCTCTGCCAGGCCAGAATAGCTGACCCGGCTATCCTTTCCCAATACAACAATTCACACCCCATATGCACTCGCATCATAGAGTCTAGTGCTAGGATGTGAAATATAATAGATTTTGCGTATTTTCAGCATTTATCTATAGTGGCATCACCTGATACTCTTGGGGTTTACATGATGAAACAACATCTCGATATTAATCATGACAACATTGTCTTCTCCGATTTTGGATCATCTAGATTATTTCAACCTTCTAGCCTCTAAGACATATTTCGGTCGTTCAATATGGTCCACCGGTTATCCCCTCTAGTTTCGAGCGTCACGAAAAGTCCATAACCGCTGGGTACGCAGACCTACAGATTTTCCGGCCCGGTATCCTATAGTGATGGCTGCAACCTACTTATACGGTAAGCGAGACCCGTATCTCGGGGGCTGTGCACCGCCATGCGCGAACATGCATTTGTCCCAGTGATAGCCACACCCATGAACTCCATCACTCAATATAGTATCTATGTCGTTTGGTTTGAATCTATAGTCGGAGGTTGTTTCGAGTCGTGATTGGCGCAGTAGCACGACTTGAGCAGCCACTCCCCCATCAGCCTTGGCGAAGTGCAGAGAGTAAGTATAATGATGTGGCACCGAGTCTCTGACGACACGAAATAACTCCTTCACGATGGTAACGAAGAATGATGCTCTACAGGGTAAATGTAAAATCTCTCACGTCAATGCGCCCCCAGCTGATGATGACCTCAGGGGCCACAGCTCGATGAAGATGCCGAGAACCAACTCCGAGCTGAGTTCTATAGCCTCGACCCGAATACCTTGGAGTCATATCTCATTCCGACAGTCGAAACTTGCCTGGTTCATCTGAATTTGCTCCACGCTTTTGAAGAGCTAAAATACATAGTGGGGCACATCGATTAACTTTGGAAGATATGGGATTCGAGAGCGACAAATGACAACCTGGATATTCTAGTAAAGTAGCGTGAGGAGAGTTGAGCTGTCTATGTCGCTTGGGTGTTCGATCGTTACGTGGTGGAATGGCTTTGTGCTGGAGATGCTCAAGGAATCGGCTATGTTGAAAGGATCCGAGCAGAAGAACACAGCTCGGTATGAGGAGTTTGCTGTGCAAAGAGATCCTAGTGGACTACTGAAACTTTGCCTCCTGTTTTTATGTGTATTATAAGCCCTCATGGTGGTCGATAAGATTTGCTCACAGCTTTAGACGTTCTTCTTCTATAACATGCACATATGTCTAAGCCCGAGACTGTTTCTTGAAGTAGGCTCAGGCCTCGACACAAGTCGTTTCAGAGGAGTGCCTCGAGAATCCAAATTTAGCAGGTAATCCATGCAAATATCGGCGTATACAGTCCCTGCTTTCTGGTAAATAGGAAGCCTGGACTCGCTCGATCGGGGATACGGAGATAGGAAATCGAACTTCACTCGTTCCAAGTGCAGCACCACCATCGACAAAGACCTTCTCCGAGTTGCCAAGTTCCGAGACGATGTGAATAATCTAGTTGCTGAAGAATGACTGACCCATGTCAGGAACGATTCTCTAAATCGAAGACGGCCTACCCAAACCCCACGACAAAAATCGCAACCCGTCATTCCCGAATCACCTAGTTCGCATGGGCATCCTCGAAGCAGTCAGCATAATCCAGCCTAATAACCCCAGCAAACCCAACAGGACCATCATTCGCGACCACATTGAGAGCATCACACCACACAAGACTGAAAATATCAGTAAGATTGAGCTTCGGCGCCCTCGGCGGCCGCAGACTCCAACCACGCCCAACGCGTCTATTATTCCACAATAACGTCGAAGGCCCTTGATCAGTCATACAGAAACAACAGTGGGACAACATCATCGAAGAAACCTAGCGTATTCAGCCGCATCTTCCTCTTCATCCGCCTCGAATGGCGAGGCTGGCAAACTCACTATAGGGCCCGCAGCCAGGACATGTGCGATGATTGAGGTAAGGCGATCGAGTTGAAAGGGCCGTGGGCTTCAAAATTAAACATGACACTGACGATGGGTATGTTTCCTGCGCATTCAGGGGCGATAGCGATTAACTTCGGCCAGCCGGACTATTGTGTGGTGGGGACTGGGGAGGCGGTGGGGAAGGGGGTTGTGGGACAGTAAAGTTGGCTAGGTGAAGTGCTAAATGTACAGGAATGAGTTATATTCTTTGGAATTGGTCTTTGTGTTTGTTCGTTTTACATAAAAATGTTTGCGTAGATAGGACGGTATCTTATGGGCGGTGCAGCACTTGGTGGACAAACTTCAGGTAACTTACTTAATGGTGATCACACGTCGGGGAGAGGGCGCCCATTATGATCACTAAAACACAAATGAATAATATCACGGACGGACGTAATAATTTATTGACAGATTGCATTCGCAAACACAAACACTTCAACCGCCTCCACTGATCATTGACACATGCCCGAGTAAAGAAACCCCTTCCCATGTCTGAAATCTGACCCCATTCCCAAACCGCCCCAAACCGCCCCAAACGACCAAAGGAGTGTGCGTAAGTCACATCATATAGCTCAGAGAGTAAGCCGTGACGTGGGTAGGATGCGAAGATTCTAAAGCGATAGAATCAGGGTGAAGGTCTAGTTGCCGTTCCCACTATCGGCAGTGGTGGTGGCTTGCGCCTGAGTCTGAACCACCACGCCGGAGGGGAGTGACACGCCTGAGGGCAAAGAAACGCCAGATGGAAGGCTGATGGTTTGACCTGAGACCAAAGCGGTCATGGCAGCAAATATGACGGTGAAGATGACGGTCTGCATTGTGGCGAGATGTTGGTTTAATGACCTAGAAAGGCAAGGACTTATTGGTGAGAATGTTTGATGACGACTTGATGGAAGGTTGTAAATGTGCTTGGTTGGATGATGGAGTAGGAACTATTCTATGGTAGACGTGATCTACTTATACCATGAATTTGATGAGAAGCAAAGGCCTTCATCGTCGATCCCGTAATTGCAAACGGCAACGAAAAGTTAGACTGGTGCCTATTGCGAGGCTTCTAGCTGCAAATTATCACTCGGCGTGTCATCAAAATGTTCCCGACTACCTGACCACCCTAAAGCTAAACACAATGAAGTGGAATTGCATCGTCTTACATGCGAGATCTTACGTAAGTTTCTGTGGTAAACGTGCG